TGTGAATGTTCTCGAATTAACCTATATCAAATGGAAGGCCTGGAGAATGTTCTGCCTGGAATATGTACTTATCAATTATTTTTGTTCCTGTGTGCCAGCTACAAGTTGTTTCTTAATCCTAGCTCAACAGATGTGGTTTGCACAACAACTGCTGAAGCTTTGGCTATGGGCAAGGTTGTTGTATGTGCCAATCATCCCTCAAATGAGTTCTTCAAGCAGTTCCCAAATTGTTGGACATATGACAATGATAAAGGATTTGTTAGAGCCACACTAAAAGCACTGAATGAATGAAGAGCCTGTTCAGCTTACCGATGCTCATAGACATGAGCTTTCATGGGAGGCTGCCACCGAACGTTTTCTCAAGGCTGCTGAACTGGACAAGCCACTTGTGAAACAATTGTCGAGAAGTACATCGAATAACTACCTGTCTACATCATTAAATGTGCAGCAGAGAGTGGAGGATGTATCTACATATATACATCATATTGCTTCTGGGTTTGAAGCATCTAGAAGACTATTTGGTGCAATTCCAGGTAGCCTGCAACCAGATGAACAGCTATGCAAGGACCTTGGGTTAGCTACTTCTGGGAATCAAGGGTCAAGAAAATGATTTCAGACGCTGTGATTTTATTTTATTTTTTTCTGGGGTGAGATTTCTTGCTTATTCTGGTCTCAAGGTCTTACCAATAAAGGTTAGGTCTAACGAAAAGAGCTAGTCTCTCATAACATAATAAATTAAGGTTCTAATCCCTATTGGAAGATGTGCCTATGTTTAATGCCTGACAATCTCGATTATGATTGCCTCTAATAGAAAGATACATATACTTTAGGTGGGAAAAAAAAACACCCTTAGATTTTATGGCTTTGATCTTCTTTTATCCTTGCGGGTTATTTCAAACTACCAAAAAGAAAAGCCTACTACTTTAAAATGAATTATATTTCTAAATTTTCCTTGATAGAAAAATGTTAGTTCCAAATATAAAACATAATTCACTTTTTCTACTCTATTTATCATTTTTTTCCTCAAATTAATTTATTTAACTTATAAACTGATATATAATTCATATAATATAATGTTATACAGAGTTGTTTTAAAAAACTTATTTTACATTTATTATAATTAATTAATTAATTTTCTCAATGAGACTATAAATAGGATCTCATTCATAATATAAGAAGTTGGTTAGAAGAAAATTGGTCTAAAATATAAGAAGTTAACAGATAACTAATGATGGTTTTTAACTTTCAACCCTTATTATAAGGACAAGTTTTAAATGTAGGAGAGGTGAGAGAGAATTTTCTAATCACATTTTTTAATAAAGGTACACTAGGGAAATAACTTTTATCAATTTGAAACAAATTTAATGACTTAACTAGCAGCCTGTTTAGTTGAATTACGTAAATAATAATTATTATATGTAACCTCGATGCAAAAGTCTGATTCAATTATTTAATTGTTTTTGTAGTATAAAAAAATTAAAAGATATCTTGATTCCCTTAAAATAATTCGGTTAGATCATATGAATAGGGATTAGAGGATGGAAAAAAATACACGATTACCCTTAAAAAAAATAGACACTACTCCATTTGCTCTGCTATCATTCTGATTCCCACATGCTTCACCTTGAAAGCACCGCCGCCACCATTGAACTCTATTCCCAACATCTTTGTCCTACTTCTCCACCTACTCATGTCTCTTTTGATAGGCTCAAGTCTCACGATTGGGTACAGGGATCATGACACTTGACCCTTATGATATTCCCCAGTAAGAGACTGCAGATAATTGTGTTAATGTTTCCCTGTAAGTCATCATTGTTGTTCTTTGTTTCCGGTAATGAGAGTTGTCATGAGGATCTGATCAATCTCGTTTATTGAACACAAGAATCACTAAAACTAGAATTAATTTACCTACTTCAAAAGTTGCTTTTGTTTACCATCCGATAAAAGTGGTACTTGTTCTTGCATTTATTTTTGTTTACAATGATTCACGTGTTTGTGTGTGTTCATTTGTTTATTCAATGAACAAAGGACGATTGATATGCATGTTCATTGACTTATTCAAGGAACAAAGAGTTAATCCATCTCTTCATTTTTAATGAACAACGAATTAAATAGACTATCATCTCCCCCAAGTAAATTTTGTCAAAGAATATTTTCAACCAGACATATAATGAAGATTTACCTTTATCTATATGAATTTGTTACATCATTGCTGAGTATCTTGAACTCACAAACATACCAATCATAACCATGACAGGAAGTTATCAGAATTCAGAAATATACGTTCAATCCTAACCTGCCATGTCTTTATTAACATAATATAACAAGATCTCTGTAATACAAATGACACAAACCTCAAGAGACCTTATGCTTGTACCTTGTGGCACAGACTAAGTAAATCAACAAATTTAAGAGGCTAATTCCAGCTAAAAGACAGAAAAAGTAATGGAGATGACCTTCATTCAAGTTATCAGGAATCCATCCAGCCTGTCCTCCTTGTGTAGTCAAGTAAGATACTATGGTAATAATGAAGGAGCTCAGGTAATTTCCCAAGGAAGTAGTCAGTAATGACAGGGCACTGCATAAACTCCTCATCGCATCTGGAGATTGATCATAGAAGAACTCAAGCTGCCCAATGAATGTGAATACCTCTGCTGCACCAAACAAGAAGTACTGAGGGATTTGCCAAAAGATGCTAAGGGGCACGGCAACAGCTTTATCAATGAGGCTAAGCTCTCTTGCAAGTTGCAGCCGCTTAATCTCCACAAGAGCAGCCGCTAACATGCAGAGAATTGATAGAAAAAGGCCAATTCCCATCCTTTGCAACTCTGAGAAGCCCTTTTCCTTGCCTGTAAATCTCCTTGCAATTGGAACAATTAACCTGTCAGATGGGGACCCAGAAAATAACACTCAAGACATCGAAAGTTGAGAGGGAGGCTGCAGGAATGGTGAATGAATTAATACTTCTGTCCATCATTGTTCCTTGTTCCACAAACATTGTTGACATCTGAGCATACACAGCAGAGAAAACAATTCCGGTAGCCCAAATAGGAAACATGCGGACCAAGATTTTCAATTCCTCCACCTGGTTCACGCTACAGAGTTTCCATGGATTTGAATAGTCGCCTTTCTTGCGCTCAATATCAGAAACTAAAGCTGCTTTATCAAGGCACCTTCAGTGAAAACAAAAGGTTGAAAATCTTAATCAGAGTCTGAACGCTAATTCCTTCTCATTCGTCCAAAATTATTTATAGCCCCCCCCCCCCAAAAAAAAAGGAGAAAAAAAAAATACAACTGAAGTGCCTTCACATCAACCAATTTCACTGCAACATTTAAGTACATGAAAAGTGAAATAAAATGCAAGTATAATAAATCATCTTGTCCGCATAGTTCTTGAAAACTAGATAATTTATTCATAAAATCTTATCCAATGACCATTTATGATTTTATGGGTTATCAAGTCAATAAATGATTTCCTCCATTATTTTCCGCGTGTTTAGCTAAGTAACATTACTAGCCTGTAACAGGTTAGTCAGAGTCAACATAGAAGGCTCTTCCTACACCACTAGAGTAGAGCTAACATTTATCATCTCACGCAAAGTAATTGATTTCCTTCTTTGCATAACAAATTATAATTCACATGCAAAAGGAGAGTCAGCAAGCATCCTAAAATACTGCTTTTACAATATTTGAGATAATAAAATGAGGCCCAAAAATATGAGGAACATGACAGGAAGCTCAGAAAAAATTACGTTAGTTCATCACTATGTTCCAGTTTCCTACTTGCTTCGATTGCAGAGCTCTTATCTGGTGTCTGATAAAGGAGGCTACTATCTACCGGGAAATCCAGATTCCGTTTCCTGAAAGATGCTACCACAACTTGGCACATTCTTGTAATAGGGCTTCCCCCTGGTTTCTGGAACCTGTAGAGGGGTGTGCCTAAAAAAAAGGTAACAATAGCTAAGCCCATAAATAAAGAGGGAATACCAAATCCAAGACCCCAACCAGCATTGTCCTGAATCCATACAATTAAAGTGCTTGATACAAGAGAGCCAATGTTGATAGAAAAGTAAAACCAGTTGAAAAAGGATCCCTTCTTAATCCTTTCCTTGGGATCAGTATCATCAAACTGATCTGCCCCAAAAGATGACACACATGGCTTGATTCCACCAGTCCCAAGTGAAATTAGGTAGAGGCCAGTGAAGAACACAGCATATTGTGCAGCTGTAGCTGATGGACAGAGAGAATTAACACAATCTGTGGGCTTTAATGCTGGAACAGATGCAGAAACAGTCAATGTGCACATTCCCTGCAGGAAAAAACCTCGTCAGCTATTTAAACATTCGAAGGAAATTAAATAATCTCGTTTACAACAAAATGAAAAGGAAGCCCTGATGATTAAATATATTTACAAAGAAATAAATCGTCGAGAAAACAACAATTGTCCAGTATCTTCCCCAGTAAGAATCTGCAAGGAAAGCTCCGACAAGAGGGGTAAGATAGCATGTTCCTTGTCAGGTAGTGACATTTCTTGCAGCAGAGAAATGTCCTTCATGTAGCGTTCTGGTAAGATAGGTAACAAGATTTTTTGCGATGCCATAATAAGCTAATCGTTCACAACACTCATTGCCTGTAATTCATATTACATCACCATGTTATGAGCAGTATATACTGTTTAATATGCGTAAGCACCACTACCTTACCTAAAATAAATGGACAAGCTTTCCAATTGCCAGTATTCTGCTTAAGAACAGGCTTCCCCTTAATGTCAACCGAGCCGTCCCCTGTGTATTGCCTGCTTCTTCCATCCTTCAGATGTAACAATACAACAGAGCAACAGATGGCTTTCCTTTTAGGGGTTCGAAAGGAAAAGAATGGCACCAACTATGGAAAAACCATATATCTTGCAAAACAACATCCTATCTTTGAGTATCGGAGGGAAGGGAATATGGAAAAACGCATAAACGATGAACCACTAGATAAAAATTTTACATGCCAAAGCATTGCGGTTTATATTGCCAGTATGTCAGGCACCAGTTGTCCCGGGTAATAGATATTTTTTAACCAAAAGAACTAGTAAATAAATTCATTCTCTAGTCTCTATTGAAATGTTCAAATACTGTCACCGAGATGAAAAATGATTACCATCAATTCTTCATATATAAAATCCTGGCCTCCATTGGAGGATTCCGGACCGGGCGTCATCCCACCAATTAGAATGAACAGTGATGAAAAGACCGCCTAATTCTGCAAAAGTAGATCAAGATATCATGAAGATGTTTAAACTCAACATTGGTTTTTCTTCCCATCCTCATATAAAGTGCTGAGTTATCCACTGGTTCATAAAATGAATTTTATAAGTGGAGAAGTTTCGCTTTTCTACCAGATAATCTAGACTAGACACAGATGGTTGACTAAATATTACCGCAACAACAAAAGCAAAATGCTTGATCTTTACAATAGGCCTTTGCAAATACAATCCGGTAATAAACCCTGCATTTCTGAAACTAAATCAAGCTGTTTCATTAAACACTCGCTCAGTTCAATCAAGTTATGCAGCTAATTTAAAATATCCAACTGCAAATCAAGATATGGAGAGGGAGCCATCAT